TATATATAATATATATAATATATATATATATATATGCATTCATGTATGTATACCCCCCTCTGTCTCTCTCTCTCTCTTACCCTCTCCTCTCCCTTCCTTCCCTCCCTCCCTCCTCCTCCCTCCCTCCATTCCTTCTTTCCTTCCTTCCTTCCTTCCTTTTCTTCCTCCTCTCCTCCCTCCTCCTCACTCACTCATCACTCACTCACTCACTCACTCACTCACTCACTCACTCACTCACTCACTCACTCACTCACTCTCTCTATCTATCTGTCTATCTACACACACACACACACACATTCGTATCACTATTCGTATACACTATGGTAACCCGTTACTACAATAACTTTGATGGTGTCGACGATCATGATGATGATGATGATGATGATGATAACGATGTTGGAACTGATGGTCAACATCATTGATGATGATGATAATGATGATGCTGAAAATGGTAATGATAATTATGATAATGATGATGACAATGATAATGATGATAACAATAACAATGATGATAATGGTAATAGTAATAATGATAATAATAATGATCATGATAATAATTAAAATAATGATAGTGATGATAATAATGGTGATGATGATAATAAAAGTAATGATAACAATGATTATAACAATAAAAATAATAGTAATAATAATAATGATAACGATGATATGGCACAAAAATGATAATGATAGTGATATCACAACTAGTGGTACTATTATTAATAAAAATTACGATGATTAATGATAATACTGTATATTACTAAAAACTACGATTATAATAAAAATTACGATTAATGATAATACTGATAATAATTATCACTATCACTGATATCATTACTGCAGTCATTAATGTATCATTATCATAAAGTATTAATCATTGCCGTAATTATAACATGGATGATACTAATTCTACAACCCATTACTACCATTATCATCATTTTTATCATTAAGGATACGATACTCATATTACCGTCACCATTATCATTACTTTATTTTATTGCTATTGCTATTAGTGTTATTATCATGATTGTTGTTATTGCTATTGTTGTTATAATCATCATAATTATCAGTATTATTATCACGTTGTTTTTATCATAAATTATATCATTATTATCATTAGCATTATTGTCATTATCATTATTATTATCATTACTATTATTATTGCTATTATTATCATCATCGTTGCCATTACCATTATTATTATCATCATTGCTAGTATTATAATTGTTATTATCATTGTTGTTGTCGCTATTATCGTTCTCATTATTCTTATCATGTTGTCACTACTGCTATTATTATCATAATTATTATCATAACCATTATTTTCATCATTATTTTATCTACAAAATTGCCACAAGATTATATAATTCTCGTACAATGTAAATTCATAAAGCACGGTAGAGAAGATAAGGAACATGAATTGATATAAAGACAATGAACATACGAGACATCTTTATCGTCATCATCGTTATCATTTTTTGCCGGATAGATTAGAATAAAAAAAATCCAGATGAAGGTGATTCAAATTGTACTTCATTTATTTAAATCATTATCATCCTCGTCATCATCATTGTTACCACCTTCAAATAACCTAAGAAAAACTATCATCATTACTAAAACCATAAAATGTAAAAAATTAAGATAAATAACACAAAATTCACTGGAAAAAAAACTTTAAACAAATCCCCATTATCCTTCCATACGAATTATTTACGTAATTTGTGTCTCAGTTTCCGGGTGTTCGTGGCGATGGACAGGCCTTCCAGTCTTCCTGACGAAGCGGAAGTGACGCAACTCCGACGCTGGGCTGACGGAGCTGACCCACTGCCTGACATTCTGATCCTGGGTCAGCTTTGTTGGTGGTTGCTGTGTGAGCTGTGTCATGTGCAAGGCAGATGGTTCAATGAGATGTGTTTTAAATGGGATATATATGCAGTTTGTATCTGTGTATCTAGATCTCTATGTCTTTCTGTTGTTGTTTTTTTGTGTGTGTTTTAACGACTCAGAACACAGTTTACTGCCAATATTCTAGACAGTCATGGCCCTCTGCATTTTGGATTTATGGGAGAGAGAGAGAGAGAGAGAGAGAGAGGAGAGAGAGAGAGAGAGAGAGAGAGAGAGAGAGAGAGAGAGAGAGAGAGAGAGAGAGAGAGAGAGAGAGAGAGAGAGAGAGAGAGAGAGAGAGGAGGGAGGAAGGAGAAAGATAGAGTTATATTGTGTATATTTGTATAAAACTGACGTGTATACTGATTAAATTTCAATACTCCCCTTTAATATACTTCAATGGACTTCTTAATAGTCAGACAATAGATTCTAAAGATAAGAAAAATGCAGATAGATATTCAGCAAATATTTCTGCTTTGATCCTTATGAGTGGAGGTGAGGGTGAAAAGGGAAGGTGAGGGGTGAAAGGGGGGAGGTGAGGGGAATGGGGATTATGGAGGTGGAGGGTGTGGGGGTCCCCTGGAATGGAAGGAGGGTGTGAGAAGGAGGTGGGTGAGGA